TGGTTGTTTTCTCAGGAAATAATCAAGAAAGGCCCATAAAGTGAGAGCTTACAAGTAACATTTCCGCTGGGCTTTCCCCTTGTCCCCCCGCAAGCAACGAATCTGGACTTGTGTGCCTCATATGCACAATTGACCAAGGAATTAAAAAGAAAGAAAGCTAATAGCGCTTCATGGAGCCGCTGAACTTAAAGCAAGACAGATTAAGATGCCAAGTGCTGGAGATCACTAGGCCCAGCTAGGAAGCAGAGCTGCAGGGAAGTGTGGCGGTAAATAACATTTCCAGAAGACGAGGGAAACATCCAATTACTACATTTCCTAGAAGTCGGAGCTGAAAAGGCTCCTCCTCTGGTATCTGCAGGGAAAAAAATGTACAGTATTTTCTGTACTCAGAGAATAGACAGTGGAGAAAGTCACGTTCAGCGAAACCCAGCTTTTAAAAAAAAGGTCTAGGAGTCAATGCTAACAGATTTTTTTTAAAAAAGAAATGAAACTCACAGAGAATGCAACAAAAGGTGCAAGATTCTTTTTGTCTCCCTTGCATTGTAAATCCTCCATTTCTGAGCACCAAAAGCTCTATAAAAGGGACCCCACCAGCGGCTTTATCACCACCAGCATGAAATCAGCTCTTAGAAAGAATGTCATATAATTCACAAAATATTCTTACAGCAAACACATCCATTTATGTATGCAGGTACAGTATATTAATCTCCCCTCTTGTATCTCTGTGTCTTTAAGTCGCCTGTCGACTTATGAAGATCCCATGAATTTCAGAGGGTTTTGTTAGGCAAGGAATACTCAGAGATGGTTTTGCCAGTTGCTGCCTCTGAAATAAACCTTACAGCAACTGATATTTGTTGATGATCTCCCATCCAAGCACTAATCAGGGCCAACCCTTCTTGGCCTCTATGATCAGATGGGATTTGGTGCATTTAGAATATTTAGACCTCTTTCCCCTCTGTATTTAGTTGCAAACCTCAAAGTAGCTGGGAAATAATAGACTTTCTCAGCAACCTGGTGTAGTTGTAAGCTCTAATTGTTGAAGTGCATAATCTTGTGGGGTGGGCTTGGTCTTGAAGGAACACTTAAGATACACTAGCTTTACCAAAAACCTGTTCCTCATGGAGATGAGAACCACTAAAACTAGTTTGTTGACATGGAGAACTGTCTTTGTGTTTGGACTCTCCAGTGTGGTGGTGTGGATAGGTATGAAGCTAATACGATGGGAACCTGTCCTTTAAAATGTAACTGCACACCAATGGCCACAATTGGGACTTGGGACTGCTGCTGTTCCTTGTTTTTTCTTGCAAAAGGTATTGCAACAAAACATCATCATTGCATCATCATTCTGTACCTCTCCTTGGCACTGGAATACAAGGAGGTGGGATACTGGCTCAATGTAATAGAATCCTAGAGTTGGAAGAGACCCCAAGGGCCATTCAGTCCAACC